TATGCTTTGTGTAAAAGTAATTAAAATCAGTAAATTTTAAATTAGCTTTCTGTAAGTTTTCTTACTTATAGAAAACATTAGAAAATAAATGGAAATTTTTCTTCTCATTTATTTTGACAATCCTCATTGTCATTTCTAAGCAGCATGTTCTTGCCCCAAATTGAACCAATTAAAAATCCATATTCTATGCACCATGAGAAGTGTTTCATAGGAGGTATCTCATTTACTCCCTGCAGAAAACTCTTGTTAATATTATCTACATTTTACAAATGATAAATGAAATAATTTGCAAGACTGTACAACTAATATGTAGTGGAGCTGCAATTTGAACCCAGACCATCTAACTCTAGAGCTTGTATGTTTAACAATAAAACTGAACTGGCTCTTAAATTTTAAAAAACTAAAAAACAAAAATACACAAACAAGAAACCTACCTAAGGAACATTCTAGAATCACAATGTTTAATAAGTTCTATTGGTTCTACCCCTCCAAATATAATATATCCCAAATTCAACTACCTCTCACCTCCTTCGACACTGCCTCTCACTAGGACTACTGCAACAAACAAACTCCGGGCTCTCATGGTGTGGGTCCTAGGACCAGCAGGAGTGGCATTACCTAGGAAGTTGTTAGAAATGCAGATTCTCTGGCTCTACTCCAGACCTACTGAATGAGAAATTCTAGGAGTGAGGCTTGCAAGTGGTGTTTTAACAAACCTTCCAGGTAATTTTGATGCACACTTAATTTTAACAACTAGCCAACAAAAAGATGTATTCCTTTTAGCCAACTTCAGACAATCTCTGCTGAACCATCTTTCTTTTAGGAGCCCCTGTTCTATCTCTACAGAATAAAGTTTCACCTTCAAAAAACACAAGGATCTTCTTCAATTCTTCTTGAATAAGTGCTTGTTACAACAGCTGAACTGGATCTGCACAAATCTAAATCCATATATGGATATGGTCTCATATGGATTTCCCTAAAAATTTCCAAGGCTTCATGTAGCCAGTTTATGTATAGAATCCTTTATACTGCAGCAGAGTTTAATAACCAAAATAATTCAAGAGGATTTCTAATCTCTTCTTGTACACCTCCAAAAACATTCAAGTTGACTAAAATTAAAGGGCTAAAATTATCAAGTCCAGGCCAGGATAAAGAGCAACTGGAACACTCTTGTATTAGTGGTAGGAGTGTACATTGGTACATCCACTTTGGAAAACTATCTGACAACAGAAACTAAAGATTCAGATATGTCCACTCTATCATGCAATAATTCTATACCTGGACACACAGCCAACATAAATGAGTGATTATGTCCACAGCACATATAGACAAGAATGTTCATAGCACTGTTATTCATAATAGCCAAAGACTGGAACATCCAAATGTCCATCAACTATAGAATAGATGAATACTCTATGAAATACTACACAATGATTTAAAAAAACCTGTTTTGCTACACAAAAAAAATTTTTTTGGAGACAGAGTCTCACTCCATTGCCCGGGCTAGAATGCCGTGGTGTCAGCCTAGCTCACAGCAACCTCTAACTCCTGGGCTCGAGCAATCCTCCTGCCTCAGCCTCACGAGTAGCTGGGACTACAGGCATGCGCCACCATGCCCGGATAATTTTTTCTGTATATTTTTAGTTGTCCAGCTAATTCCTTTCTATTTTGAGTAGAGACAGGGGTCTCACTCTTGCTTAAGCTGGTCTTGAACTCCTGACCTTGAGCAATCCTCCCACCTCGGCCTCCCAGAGTGCTAGGATTACAGGAGTGAGCCACAGCGCCTGTCCTACATAAATTTTGATCAATCTTCTAGATATAATGTTGAGTGAAAGAAATCTGAACAAAATCTGAACAAAAGAAATCTGAACAAAACAACATACTGACTGTATGATTCCATTTTTATGAAGTTACAAAACAGACAAAAACTAACCTATGGTGATAGAAACCAGGAGAGTGGTTACTTCTTAGGGAGAGTGGGGAGATTGTTGACCAGGAAAGGGATGAACAGAAGATACACAGGGTGCTGGTATGTCTGTATTTTGATTTGGGTGGTGGTGACACAGGTGTAGACCCATGTAAAAATGCACTGAGCTCAACTCTTAAGATTGTGCACCTGCAATTCACAATTCCATGGTCATGGAAACAACCCAAGTGCCCATCAATTCACCAGTGGATAATTAAAATGTGGTATATGCTCACAATGGAATATTACTCAATTCTAAGAAATGACGGTGAGCTTGCACTGTTTATGCTATCCGGGATTAAGCTTAAGCCCATTATCCAAAGTGAGGCGACACAAGATCTGGAAAATGGGCTCCACATCTACTTGCCATCAAATTGGTAATGACTGACTAAAACTATGTTGCTCAAATGGCGGTAGTGTGCACCAGGGATTCGGGGTAGGGGGGCCACATCTTAGGGACGTGGCGAGCATTGTGGAAGGGAAGGGAATATCCAGTGGTGGGCAGGTGGGAGGGGGGAGGAGGGAAAGGGGGTATACTTACATAATGGGTGTGGTATGCACCAACTGGGGGTTGGACACGCTTGAAGCACTGGCACAGAGGGGAGGAGGGTGGCAGGGGCAATATATGTAACCCCAACAATATTTGTACCCCCATAATATAATGAAATAAAAGGAGGAAAAAAAAAAAAAAGATTGTGCACCTGAATGTACATGAGTAACATCTCAAAGTAAAAGAAAACCACAAAAACAACAAAGAGCATTAAACGCCATCCAAACAATAAGTGACAGCAGCCACCCTAAAGTCAGCTTTTTTCTTTTCCCCAATTCTGCTACAGTACCTCTCACTGACCAAACCCTATAATTCTATCTGATGTCCAGCAGGTAGTTTTTTTCCTTCAACTTTCCCTTCTTTCAATCTTAATCCCAGCCCTGACTTTGCTTTTTGCTAAATCCTTTCTTCTTACCCACCTCCTCTAAAGACCATCTCTTTCTAAGTCCATCTTATTCTCCCAGTTCTGCATAATGAAAGATGCAGAAAAGAATAGAAAAGACAAAATTTTCTTTACTAGACAGTTATGAGAAGTGAAGAATGTTTAGCCAGTAATATATCTTGTCCTCTCACATATCTTCAGTTATAAACTTAATTGACTCACCCTAGAGAAAAGATACCACTGAGTAGTTATTTCTTTTTTTTTTTTTTTTCAGACAGTCTCCCTTTGTTGTCCAGGCTAGAGTGAGTGCTGTGGCATCAGCCTAGCTTACAGCAACCTCAAACTCCTGGGCTCAAGCAATCCTCCTGCCTCAGCCTCCTGAGTAGCTGGGACTACAGGCATGCACCACCATGCCCGGCTAATTTTTTCTATATATATTAGTTGTCCAATTAATTTCTTTCTATTTATGGTAGAGACAGGGTCTCACTCTTGCTCAGGCTGGTTTCAAACTCCTGACCTCGAGCAATCCGCCCACCTCGGCCTCCCAGAGTGCTAGGATTACAGGCGTGAGCCACCACACCCGGCCATAGTTATTTCTTTTTAAATAATTGTGTACCAGTACAAATAACTGATCCTTCACCTAAAGTGTAGGAAGCTTTTGTCTTGCTCTTCTTAGCAATATCTACTAGCCTGTACCAGGTATTCCATGTAGGACGATTTTTGGATTTTTTTTTTTTTTTTGCTGAAAATTATAAAGGTAAAATTGAGAAGCAGCATGGCATCTGGAGAATGACAGAAGAAACCAATTGTACTTTCTTAAATGTAAATATTGTCAGCACATTTCAACTTTAAAAGGCACTGGACATGGGCACAGAGCACAGTGATAATCAATAGCACTTTCCTGGTATAATTCCAGGATGTTAAATTTAGAAATTTGACCATTTTTTCTCAACTCTGGGTCTGAGACTACCTGGGCTTCTGCAGATATATTCTCTAAGATCTGTGGTAACTTCTCCCTTTAAAACAGCTCCACAGGAGGTTACCAGGGGCTGGGGGGAGGAGGAATGGGGAGTTGTTGTTTAATGGGTATAGAATTTCTATTTGGGAAGATAAAAAAAAAAAGTTCTTGAAATAGATAATGATGATGGCTATGCAACTCTGGCATTAATACTGAATTGTATACTTAAAAATGGCTAAAATGCAAATTTTTATGTTATGTATATTTTACTACAGTTTTAAAAAGTCAAAGCCATCGGGACTTCCATTTCCAGCAATATGGCCTATGAACCATCCTGAAAAAAACCCTCCTAGTACAAAAATACCCAAAATATTAGATAAAATATTTTGAAGATTTCATAAATGCATAGTTGAGATAGTGAAAAGTAAAAGAAATCCTTAGAGGTTAAAAAAAAAAATACAAGATGAAAAAACATAAATCCAAGAGAGGTGAGTGAGCTCTAAAGCTGATAGCTGCCCTGATGTCATCTGCTAATCTTAGGTGGTCCAGAGCTGCTGTTTTAACAAGCTTTCAGGGAACAGATGATAAAGCTCAAAGACTTGGAAACTGACCATCAGAGGGTGAACCAGAACAAACCAACCACTCCCAGAGCGTGAACTTAAAGAAATTTGCCTCTGTTCGCCTTGGCTCTATATGGAAGAGAAAAAAGTCTCATGTGAAATCTTCTGGTTATAAACTGGCCTCCAGGAGGTTTTAGGTCTATAAGTCTTAGTAATTTCTGTTACTCCTAGTTCTGGTTTCTTTTCTACCATGTTTTTAAACATTTGAAAAGTTATCATAAGTCAATTTTTTAGGTATAACACACACAATTCATTCACCTGTTCTTCATATGACCTATTTCTCAGACATTTTACCACCACCACCAGCCCTACAACATTCTTCCTTAGAGTACTTTCTGGTTTGTTCCAGTATGCTTCTTAAGGATTGATGGCCATAACTGGAAAGAGTGATCCAGATATGGCTAAGCCTATACATAATAGAGGGGGATTCTGGCCACTCTTGATTGGTATATTAGTTACCCACTGCTGAATAACAAATTACTCCAAAACTTAGTGACTTAAAACAATAACATTTAATATCTCACCATTTCTGTGGATCAGGAATCTGTGCATGGCTTAGCTGGGTCTTCTGGATCAGGGTCTCCCACAGGTGGGAGTCAAGGTGCTGGTGGGAATGGCAGTCATCTCAAGGCCCAACTTGGGAAGGATCTGCTTCCAATCTCACTCGTGTGATTGTGGGCAGGGTTCTGCTTCTCACAGGCTGTTGATCCAATGGCCTCAGCTCCTTGCTGGCTATTGACAGGAGGCTGCCTTCAGCTCCTTGCCACCAGGCCTCTCTATAGAGCAGCTCACAACATAATAGCCTGCTTCATCAGAGCGAGCAAGTGAGGAGAGTCAGAGAAACAGAATAAGACAGAAATCACAGTCATTTATAACCTAATCACAGAAGTGATAGCCCATCATTTTTGCTGTACTCTATTAAATATTTGTTAGAAGCATATCACCAGGCCCAGCCCACATATACAGGGAGTGGATTACATAAGGCATGAATACCCAGAGGTAAAGGTCATGAGGAACCATTTCAGAACAGCCTACCACAACTGGACACCATGCTTCTAATCCTGAACCTAAAATTGTGATCTAAAGAAAAACTCCACATTAATAATTCAGTTTAAGTGTCCTGAGCTTAATGAGAACCCTAGGTAGTTGGGGAAAATAAATGTCAATCCTCTCTGGAGGAACTTACCTTTTCTTTTGTGGAGACAGAGTCTTGCTAGAGTGCCATGGCATCAGCCTAGCTCACAGCAACTTCACATTGCTGGGCTCAAGCAATCCTTCTGCCTCAGCCTCCCAAGTAGCTAGGACTAAAGGCATGCATCACCATGCCCAGCTAATTTTTTCTATATATTTTTAATTGTCCGGCTAATTTCTTTCTATTTCTGGTAGAGATGAGGGTCTCCCTCTTGCTCAGGCTGGTCTTCAACTCCTGACCTAGAACAATCCTCCCACCTCGGCCTCCCAGAGTGCTAGGATTACAGGCGCAGACCACTGCACCCAGCCTGGAGGAATTTACCTTAAGCCCAGGCATTAAGTACTTGCACCAGATAGAGTCCCAACAAACATGAGTTTGCAATGAAAAAGAACAAAATCACAAGTCACTATAAGCGACAGTTAACAGTAACAAAGGACCAGACATGCGGATACTACAGATACTGGAATTATCAGATACATAAAATATAATAAACATGTTTAATATGTAGAATTGAAAGTATGACTAAGGAACAAGAGAGAGTTAAAAAATAGCAAATCGTATTTGAAACAAAAACAATTTCAAGAAATAAAAAAAAAAAATAACTGGAATTAGAGGCCGGGCATGGTGGCTCACGCCTGTAATACTAGCACTCTGGGAGGCCAAGGCGGGTGGATCACTCAAGGTCAGGAGTTTGAAACCAGCCTGAGCAAGAGCAAGACCCTGTCTCTACTAAAAATATAGAAAGAAATTAATTGGCCAACTAAAAATATATAAAAAAATTTAGCCAAGCTTGGTGGCGCGTGCCTGTAGTTCCAGCTACTTGGGAGGCTGAGGCAGTAGGATCACTTGAGCCCAGGAGTTTGAGGTTACTATGAGCTAGGCTCACACCCTGGCACTCTAGCCCAGGTGACAGAGAAAAACTCTGACTCAAAAACAAACCAAATAAAATAAAATAATTGGAATTAGAAAATGAATAGACTAATTAAAACAGAAAATTAGATGCAGTTGAAGTCAGAATTAATGAACTGAAAGATTTCAAGAAATTACTCTGAATATAACAAGATAACACATTGGTAGAACCAAGGTTTAAGGACATACTTTGTTCAAGTGACTGTGTAAAGCATCAAGAACAAGCAAAAAAAAAAAAATACTTATATATATGAAATAAGAAATATAGGCTGGGCACGGTGGCTCACACCTGTAATCCTAGCACTCTGGGAGCCCGAGGCAGGCGGATTGCGCCAGGTCAGGAGTTCAAAACCAGCCTGAGCAAGAGCGAGACCTGGTCTCTACTATAAATAGAAAGAAATTAATTGGACAACTAATATATATAGAAGAAATTAGCCGGGCATGGTGGCATATACCTGTAGTCCCAGCCACTTGGGAGGCTAAGGCAGTAGGATTGCTTGAGCCCAGGAGTTTGAGGTTGCTGTGAGCTAGGCTGACACCTAGCTAGGCTGGCACTCACTCTAGCCTGGGCAATAAAGCGAGACCCTGTCTCAGAAAAAAAGAAAGAAAAAAGAAATAAGAAATATAAGTGAGGACAACACTTTCTGAAAAGATTCAGAAAATATTTTCTTCGACTGGTATTTAAAGCTTCCATTTGTGGGACTACTTCAATCAAACTGCACCACCATCAGCAACAACACCAAGACTAGGATTTTAAGTGGAGATGAATCTTTACCTTACTCAGTTCATGTTAAACAAAAAGAAAAGCTTAATAATTTTGTGGCAGCATCAACATTAGCAGAGCTAACCAAATATTATCTGCCACTGTATCCTCCTTAGGTGAAAGTGAGCATCTATTTTTGTTGTAGACAGCACTAGTGTTTATTTCTGGGAATATTCTCCTCTACTTCTAGGTGTACTGGGGATTGGACTTCCCGTGCCCTTTAAGTGAGGCACAGCTAACTGACTAGTTTTGACTAGTGGAACATGGGTGGAAGTAACATGTGCATATTGGGGCTATAGTACTTCACTTTCAGTGATAGACTCCATAGCCCACTCTTTCCCTACCCTGGTAAGCTCTAAGCCTCATCTTAAGGTGTGGACATGATAAAACAGTAGTCTCCGTCAGCCTACTACCCTCCTCCCACTAGCACATCCTGCCAGCTTATGATGGATATGCAGCACAAACGAAAAATAAATATTTGTTGTTTTAAGCCACTGGACTTTAGGGTTTGTTTCCAAAGTATGACCTAGCTTATCCTGGCTGGTGCAATTTGGTGTTGGTGTCATAAATGCAGAGTATAATGACCCCAGAAGCAAACTATCAGCTTACACTGATGAGACATAAATATTCCTGAATGCAATGTCAAACTAAAAATTGAAAATACTAGCCAGGCATGGTGATGCATACCTATAGTTGAAGCTATTGGGAGGCTGAGGTGGGAGGATCACTTAAGACAAGGAGTTTAGGCCGGGCGCGGTGGCTCACGCCTGTAATCCTAGCACTCTGGGAGGCCGAGGCGGGCGGATTGCTCAAGGTCAGGAGTTCAAAACCAGCCTGAGCGAGACCCCGTCTCTACCATAAAAATAGAAAGAAATTAATTGGCCAACTAATATATATAATATAAAAATCAGCCGGGCATAGTGGCTTGTGCCTGTAGTCCCAGCTACTCGGGAGGCTGAGGCAGGAGGATCACTTGAGCCCAGGAGTTTGAGGTTGCTGTGAGCTAGGCTGATGCCACGGCACTCACTCTAGCCTAGGCAAGAAAGCGAGACTCTGTCTCAAAAAAAAAAAAAAAAAAAAAAAAAAAAAAAGACAAGGAGTTTGAGGCCAGCCTGGGCAATATAGTGAGATCCCATCTCAAAATTTTAAAGAAAATTTGAATACTGTTTTTTTCAATTGATAAATAAAAATTGTATATATTTATCATGTACAACATGTTGGTTTGAAATACATATACATTGTGGAATGGCTAACTGGATACTAACATTTTAATAATAAAACTGTATTGTTAATATAAAAATTTAATTTTTAATTTTTATATTTCATGTGTATTCTTTTATCTCCAAAGTTTATTACAGGATGGTGATTTTTTTTTTTTTTTTTTTTTTTTTTTTTTTTGAGACAGAGTCTCACTTTGTTGTCCAGGCTAGAGTGAGTGCCGTGGCGTCAGCCTCGCTCACAGCAACCTCAAACTCCTGGGCTTGAGTGATCCTTCTGCCTCAGCCTTCCGAGTAGCTGGGACTACAGGCATGCGCCACCATGCCCGGCTAATTTTTTATATATATCAGTTGGCCAATTAATTTCTTTCTATTTATAGTAGAGACGGGGTCTCGCTCTTGCTCAGGCTGGTTTTGAACTCCTGACCTTGAGCAATCCGCCCGCCTCGGCCTCCCAAGAGCTAGGATTACAGGCGTGAGCCACAGCGCCCGGCCAGGATGGTGATATTCTGCTTCAGCCAAATACTGATGTTTAACATGAAGCTGCTTTGCATTCAGCCAAAATATATATTTGGTGCCCCCTCTAAAAATAATATACTAAATAAAAATGATATGAATAAATATTGACTATGTGTCCTTTATTTAAAAGTTACTTCAGAGAAACCTGAAATGATTTGTAAATTAAGTCACAAATTTATTATAAGGAAGAATACCTTGATCTTCTAGAATTCAGGTGTTCTTTGCTGCCATCTTGCATCCTCTATCTTGTCTCTTCTGCTGCCACCAGATAGCTTCTGCTACAGCTAAATTCCAGCAACCAGCAGGATTCAATTCAGTGCTCTGTTTTGACTGCTGGGTCCCTAATGAGAACACCAAGTCAGTTGAATAATTTAATTTTTAAGCTGGAAACAGAAAAGCACAATCAACTCATTTCCTATATATTTGGGGCTATCAGATAGCCACATGGTAGCTGGTACTTGTCCCAGTAAGTGGTCCAGACAAGGCTTCAGGCTAACAAAAGAGAAGCCATTTCAATTCTTAAGTTAATATTCTCCTCCCAGGGAAGAATATTGTTAAAAACTATGAGTCATATATGAGCAAACAAAGGTCAGATCAAATACAATAGTGTACCAATAATCTTAGTATAGTTTTAAGCTTTAACAACTTCAGAAGTATAAATTCTATGAACTTATACAAAACATCATTTGAAAGTAAAATTATTTAAATTTCACTTATGTTTATTTGGTTTTGTGAATTTTTGAACAGTAAATGTATTTTAATTTTTTGTTTCAGTCAACATTTGCCATCTACTGTTAGAGGAACTAAAAAATGTAAAACTTAAAATTTTTTTAAAATTCACAAAATGAAATAAGCATATAAGAAATTTAAATAAACTTTACACATGATGGTTTTTGCAAGTTCATAGCATTTATACTTCAGAAATTATCAAAGCTTAAAACAGCACTAAGACTTCTGGGACACTTGTATATGGAAAACTGTGGAGTCACAGGCTCCTTGAATATAAACTTTACATATATAATTTATACTCAGCTCTGTCCAAAGAAAATTGAAGCCATTTATAACAACACATACACACAAACAGATGTAAAACTGAGTCATAAGACTTCTTGGAGCTGGAAAGACATGTTGCTAAGTGATTAAAACTTTAGGAAAAGTATGAGAGATAGAGGCAAATTAGTAGCAATATCTATAATACAGGTTTCTTGTATTTTTACTTATTTATACTTTTTCTTAAGATGGTATTAAGTTCTCTATATTTTGGTATAATATTATTGCTAATGATGCTTTTCCAGGAAAATTAAATAGCTTTTAAAGATGAACATTAATAGAATACAGAAAAACAATAAATATTAGTTTTCCTTCCTGTTAGAGATTATCTAGTTCAGTGGTTCTCAACCTTGGCTACACAATGCAATGACCTAAGGAGTTTAAAAAGTATAAATGCTTGGGTCCCAGTGAGCTTCTGATTTAATTGATCTAAGCTACTAAATACGCATCTGGAATTTTAAAAGCCACCTGGTGATCCTAATGTGCAGCCAAGGGTGAAAACCACTGCTCTAGTTCAATATATAATCAGGTATACATCAACATTAAAATGCATAGACGTTCAGAACTCCAATTTTTAACTGTTAGCACCAATCTTAAATTTTATAATAGAAGAAGTTGAAAAAAGAAACTAATCAACACGAATAAATGGCAAAAACATATTGATTGAAATAACCCAGACAGAAAGAGGACCTATTGCATCATTCTCTTTAAATAAGTTTTTAAAAAATCAGAACGTAGGGGGAAGGGAGGATTGACTGGGAAGGGACCTGAGAAGGAAATTCCTGAGACAGAAATATTCTCTATTTTGATTAGGGTACATGGATATATGCATTTATTAAAAGTCATTGAAATGGGGCTGGGCGCAGTCGCTCATGCCTGTAATCCTAGCACTCTGGGAGGCCGAGGTGGGAGGATCGCTCAAGGTTAGGAGTTCAAAACCAGCCTGAGCAAGAGCGAGACCCATCTCTACTAAAAATATAAATTAATTGGCCAATTAAATATACATAGAAAAAAATGAGCTGGGCATGGTGGCGCATGCCTGTAGTCCCAGCTACTCAGGAGGCTGAGGAAGAAGGATGGTTGAGCCCCGGAGTTTGAGGTTGCTGTGAGCTAGGCTGATGCCATGGCACTCTAGCCCCGGCATTAGAGTGAGACTCTGTCTCAAAAAAAAAAAAAAGTCATTGAAATGGACAACTGAGATCTATATGTATGATTTCGCTATATGTAAATTACACTTCGATGAAAAGAACGAATCGACCACAATTAATTTAAATCTGGATACCTATGACAGAGAAGTAGACGATTATTACTTCAGATCACCCCCAAACCCTCGCTAGATTAAAAGGAACAGCAAAACCCAGACCAGAAGTGGCGAGAATGCAGAGCAGACAGCAGGGAGGGCCAAAGCCTAAGAAATAGCTAGAAGGGTAGGCGCCATAACCCAGCTGCCGCCTACAATGCGGCGCCCGAATGTCCCACAAAAATAAGCCCCCGCGCCATTTTCCGGTCTTCTCAAGCCCACCCGTGTGTCCCCGCCGGAAGAGTCCGGAGAGAAACGTCGCCACTGCGGGAAAGGAGCCGGCTGAAGCTTGGTTCCTGTGCGGATGCTGGGGCTGTGAGGCGCGACGCGGTCGGCTGTTTGCGGCGCAGGGAGCAGGACATCAGGGCTCGCCTTCCCTCCTCTGCCGCTGCCGCCGCCATGATTCCTGTGTCGCTGGTGGTGGTAGTAGTGGGTGGCTGGACTGCAGTGTACCTGACCGACTTGGTGCTGAAGGTGAGGGCCTCGGGCCTAAGGCTCAAGCCCGCGGTGCCCAGGGCTGGAGCGGAAGGCCCTGCTTTGCCACCGGCTTTCTTTTCTCTTCCCCTGCTTCGCGCCTCCCGGGCTAGAAGCCGCGCGGCCGATGCCCACGTGCGGCCTTCCGCGTGGCGCGTCAGCCCGGTGGAGTAAATAAAGCGCTGCTGGCCGCGGGAGGGGTGTGGCGGTCTGCCCGGCTGCCGCGGTCGCAGTGCGGAGCAGTTCAGGCCCCTCAGCTTTCGGGTCCTTCCCGGGAGGCGCCGGTGGTAGTCTTGGGAGGGACTGGGCCCTGCCAGACCCCGCAGCAGCAGTGCACCAGAGAGGAAAATAAAACATCTGCTTAGGAAAGACATTTTTTTCTCTCGTGTTTTTAAAAATCACGACCCTCTAAAGACTCTGGTATTGGGATGAATCTAAATCAAGTCGTGATTTAGAGCAGTGGTCTCAAATTTTAAAATGCATATGGTCATTTAGTGTTCCAGTTAAAATGCAGATTCTGATTAAGCAGATCTGGGGCAAGGCCTAAGATTCTCCATCTCCACCCAGTTCCGAGTGCTACTGATGCTGCTGGTCCAGAGACCATACTTCAAAGTAGTATACCAAAGTAGCAAAAGTATAATCAGTTTCTGACTACTCGAATTCTGATTTGCACCCTGCACTCCTTTCTGCACACTAACCACACACACCCTGGGTGCACGGTGCATTTTCAATTATTTGGAAAGGGTAGCAAAAAATTAGCAGTTGTCTGACCACATGCTTCAAGTAGCCTTTTGGAATTGACTGGGGATGGGGCAGAAAGTAACAATATTTGTGGAATAAGATCATATAAATTCTCAAATGTTTAATGAAACTTCCAATTATGAATAATAAAGCCTTCATGTTATGAATACCATTTTAAACAGAAAACGACAGTATTGTGTGTTTTAGATTTAACAATAAAATGAAATGAGACTGTGCTTTGCTGCATTTAAACTTGTAAAGTGCAGGAGGTTATACGGTATAGTCTTTAGAGTAAGGGCCAAGCTCTGCCACTTCCTAGCTGTTATGACCTTGGGAAATTACTATTTGTGCCTCAGTTTGTCATCTTTAAATGGTGATAATAACAGCATCTCCTGAGATTATAGAGAGGACTACATTAGTGTATCCACATAAAGTTTTGCTACTCAACTTGAAGTTGAAGGACTGGCAGTGCTTGCATTATCTGGGAGCTTGTTAGAAATGTAGAGTGTCAGGCCCCACCCCTGAGCTACAGAAGCAGAATCTGCATCTCAGCAAGATCCCAGGTGATTCCTCTGCACATGTTTGTGTTTGAGAAGTGTGGATATAAAGTACTTGACATAGTGTCTGGTACTAGTGGTTAGTTATCCTAACCACTAGCAATACAGACCACAGTGATTTTGTTTTTTGGGAAAAAAAGCCACATAATTTCTTCATGTTGCATAAAAAGCCAAAATAAAAAGAACTTTTCAAACCTCTACAGTCTCTGTAACAAGTGTGTGAGGTGATCAGGATGTCACTCTAATTTCAGTGACAGCCCCTAACTCCCTAAGAGAGCACTATAACCTGAGCAAAAGACCTAACATTCAGAGTTATCTGTCTGAGGAATGGAGAAACCTCAACTGTTAGGAGCCTGTACCTTCAGTTTTTCTGCTTCTGGCTTGATATGTTGTTCCACCTTTGGTTTTTCTAGGATTTATGAAGTAGACATCTGCCGGAGGTATGTATCACTCTCCTTTTCCAAGTTCTGGAAAACAGGCAGGTTTTAAAAACCACCTGAAGACTGAGAGCAGAGAACATTACAGATCCAAAGCAAATAAATACCTATATTCAGGTGCAGGTCATTTTTTATGATTGTGATAGGGCTGAAATACCTTTCTGGGATAGAGTTAAGTTTTTCACATGAGTGGGCATCAATATGACAAAATACTTACTGCACTTACTGTAACTTTGTCACGTATAAAACCCAGCCTTATGTTATCCAAAATCCTACATTAGTCAGGGACTAAAACTTCTCTAAAGATAAAACTCTTGATGGGGCTGTGTATAAGCAGTCATCCCCACAACTCCAGAGAATTTAAGAGATGTTACTGAGACCAAGATGGCTTTATATAAGTTTTGTATTTTTATTTATTTATTTTTTCTTTTAAATTTTGATTCTTTTCCTTTTTCTTCTTCTTCTTTTTTTTTTTTTACTTTTGTTTTAGGGAAAGTTTTGTACTTTTATATGATCAAAATCAGCCTAACCCCTTAGAGTTGTTGCTCAGAAGAAGGTAGAAAGCACTGATATCAACTAACCTGTCCTTTCTGTTGGATTGGTCGAGGGTCTTTTTAACTTATAACATAGGCTTCCAGACCTGTGTTGTCCAATATGGTAGCTATTAGCTACATGTGGCTATTGAGCCTTTGACATGGAGCTAGTCCAAATTGAGATGTGTTGTAAGGGTAAAGTTGACACCAGATTTCAAAAACTTAGTGCCAGAAAAAGTATCTCAACAACTTCTTTATACTGATTACATGTTGAAATGATATCTTGAATATTTAGGGGTAAAAATATATAAAAATCTGTTTCTGCTTACTTTTAAAAATTCAGCTACTAGACAATTTAAAATTATATATGTGGCTTGCATTGTGGCTCACATTATATTTCTATGGGACTGTACTCTACTCTTTTTTTTATTTTAGTGTATTATGGGGGTACAAGTATTAAGATTACATATATTGCCCATGCGCCCCTCCCCCCCTCGAGTAAGAGCTTCAAGTATGTCCATCCCCCAAACGTTGCACATCTTACTCATTGTGGTTGTATATACCCATCTCCCCCTCCACCCTCCCAAGACCTGACAAATGTTACTCCTATATGTCCACTTAGGTGTTGATCCGTTAATACCAATTTGCTAGTGAGTACATGTGGTGCTGGTTTTTCCATTCTTGAAATACTTCACTTAGTAGAATGGGTTCCAGCTGTATCCAGGAATATACAAGAGGTGCTATATCACCATTGTTTCTTAAAGCTGAATAGTATTCCATGGTATACCACATTTTATTAATCCACTCATGAATTGATGGGCATTTGGGTTGTTGCCACAGCTTTGCAATTGTGAATTGTGCTGCTATAAACATTCGAGTGCAGATGTCTTTTTCATAAAGTGACTTTTGATCATTTGGGTAGATGCCCAGTAGTGGAATTGCTGGATCAAATGGTAGATCTACTTGTATCGCTTTGAGGTATCTCCATATTGCTTTCCACAGAGGTTGAACTAGTTGGGACCGCACTCTTTTAAGCAGGGGTCAGCAGACCTTTTTTGTAAAGGGCCAGATAGTAGGTATTTTAGGCTTTGTGGGCCACTTGGGGTGTCTGTCATGTACTCTTGTTTTTTGTTGTCCTTTTTTTTTATAATCTCTTAAACATGTAAAAATTATTCTTAGCTCACAAACTGTATGAAAATAGGGTATAGGCTTGATTTGGCCTATGGGCCGTAGTTTTTTTTTTTTTTTTTTTTTTTTTTTTTTTTTTTTGCGACAGAGTCTCACTTTGTTGTCCAGGCTAGAGTGAGTGCCGTGGCGTCAGCCTAGCTCACAGCAACCTCAAACTCCTGGGCTTGAGTGATCCTTCTGCCTCAGCCTCCCGAGTAGCTGGGACTACAGGCATGCGCCACCATGCCCGGCTAATTTTTTATATATATATCAGTTGGCCAATTAATTTCTTTCTATTTATAGTAGAGACGGGGTCTCGCTCTTGCTCAGGCTGGTTTTGAACTCCTGACCTTGAGCAATCCGCCCGCCTCGGCCTCCCAAGAGCTAGGATTACAGGCGTGAGCCACAGCGCCCGGCCTATGGGCCGTAGTTTGCCAAATGTTAACTTCAGCAGACGAGCTAGCCTGAGACCTTTAATATTTAGAAGAATAAACATGAAGCTTTAAGATTATAAACATTTGAGCAGTCAATATCTCTATTTCCTGTAGAAAATACTTCTTTTTTTATTTTCTTATACATTATGAATTATTCTTCAAAATTCAGTGATGTGGAACTTTTCTTTCTCTTTTAGTCATCTGTCTATTTTAAGCATTCTTATGAAGACTGGCTGGAAAACAATGGATTGAGCATCTCCCCTTTTCATATAAGATGGCAAACTGCTGTTTTCAATCGTGCCTTTTACAGTTGGGGACGGCGAAAAGCAAGGATGCTTTACCAATGGTATTTTCACTTTCTCTTTTTGGTTTAAATTAATCATTGTGATCACGAGAGATAGCTTGTTAAGTCATTTCTGTCATTTTTCAGTATACTGAGTTTTTAAATATTGATATATTAAAACTTTCTGATTTCATATAAACATATGGGATTGTATTGTGCTTTTGCGTACATTAAAAATCAAAGCCTTTATGTTGTTTTATGGTTAGGGGGGTTACAATCATCTTTGGAACACCCAGGATATACTGACAGGTTCTGTAGTTGAGAGAATGTGAGGGTAGCGTATGGCATATTTTTTCTTAAAAATTTTTAGCTCCAAACAGATTAGAGCTAAATATAAACAATCAAATCATCAAAGAGTTAGCAGAAAGTACAACAGCAAGTCAAACACATACATACTAGACAGAATGAAATAATGAAGATAAAAGCAGAAATCAATGAAATGGAAAGTATACAGTAGAGCAAATCAGCAAAGCCAAAAGTTAGTTCTTTGAAGAGATTAATAAAATTGACAACTCCCTACCATGACTGATTAAGGAAAAAAGAAACACAAGTAACTGAAAATTAGAATCTGCACTAGTACAGATTCTATAGACACTAAAAAATAATAAGACTAAGGCCGGGAGTGGTGGCTCACGCCTGTAATCCTAGCACTCTGGGAGGCCAAGGCGGGTGGATTCTTCGAGGTCGGGAGTTCAAAACCAGCCTGAGCGAGACCCCGTCTCTACTAAAAATAGAAAGAAATTAATTGACCAACTAAAAATACGTATACAAAAAATTAGCCAGGCATGGTGGCACATGCCTGTAGTCCCTGCTACTCGGGAGGCTGAGGCAGTAGGATCGCTTGAGCCCAGGAGATTGAGGTTGCTGTGAGCTAGGCTGATGCCATGGCATTCACTGTGGCCTGGGCAACTATGTCTCAAAAAAAAATAATAATAAGACTATTATGAACAATTTTATGCCTATAAATTTGACAATTTAGATGAAATGGACAAGTTCCTTGAAAAACACAACTTATCAAAAAGTTAGAAAATGCAACAGATTATTCCCAACTATAGAAGGGTAACTTCTAATTATTAAAATAGTGAAAGGAAGAAACTATTAAATTTTACCATGTTAATATTTAAGCTCATTTATCACAAAATAAAGTTAAAATACAATGCAGACAATAGAATAGGTAGATGAAAAAGGATGGAGGTCTAAAATATCAAAAGAGCTTTCATAACTATATGAGAACAAGATCAAAACAATGCTATGTAAACGAGTAAATACATGAGAGGAAACAGACTTTTTTATTGAAAATAATATTCAGCCTCTTTAGTTATCAGAGAATGTAAAGTATTAGAACTGCTTAAAGAAACTAGTGCCCATGCTTCAGTCAAGTATTTGAAGTTCATGGTCAGGTGCGGTGGCTCACGCCTGTAATCCTAGCACTCTGGGAGGCTAAGGCAGGCGGATTGCTCAAGGTCAGGAGTTCAAAACCAGCCTGAGCAAGATCGAGACCCCATCTCTACTAAAAAATAGAAAGAAATTAATTGACCAACTAAAAATATATAGAGAAAAAATTAGCTGGGCATGGTGGTGCATGCCTGTAGTCCCAGCTATTCGGGAGGCTGAGGCAGTAGGATTGCTTGAGCCCAGGAGTTTGAGGTTGCTGTGAGCTAGGCTGACGCCACGGCACTCTATTCCAGGCAACAGAGTGAGACTCTGTCTCAAAAGAAAAAAGTATTTGAAGTTCAGGTAGGAAAAAGAGGCAGGTGAAATTTTTAGCCATTATTTTGAAGCTACAAAATGTGGCTAGTCAGTGAATTTGCTAGTCCATGAATTGCAAGGAATTGTACATTTATGTGATTTTTCTTCCTTTTGACAGGTTTAATTTTGGAATGGTGTTCGGCGTAATTGCCATGTTTAGCTCATTTTTTCTCCTTGGAAAAACGCTGATGCAGACTTTGGCACAAATGATGGCTGACTCCCCCTCTTATTCTTCCTCCTCTTCTTCCTCTTCCTCCTCATCTTCTTCCTCTTCTTCTTCCTCTTCTTCATCCTCTTCCTCATCCTCCTCCTCCTCTCTTCACAATGAACAGGTGTTACAAGTTGTGGTAAGTACCTTCTTTTTGTTTTAAATAACTTTGTTGAAATAGAGATATAAGAAATTTCTTCTGGCTAGCATAACTCCTATCCATAATATAAATATGAAAATAAAAGTCACAATTTTTCAAATTACCTGCTAAAACAAAAACCATTAGTAAGAATACAGCAAGAAATTGTTGTGATATTTGGTAGTAGTTCTAGTAATAGTAACAGAACAAATAGACCACTATGAAGACTGTCAGTAATTACACAGATATTTGACTTCATTCATGTTGTCTTCTTAAGATGTTCAATAATTGTTACTTTCAAGGAATAAGCATGCTGATTTAAGTTCTTTTTTTTTTTTTTTTTTTTTTTTTTTTTCCAGGCTAGAGTGAGTGCCGTGGCGTCAGCCTAGCTCACAGTAACCTCAAACTCTGGGCTCAAGCAATCCTACTGCCTCAGCCTCCCAATAGCTGGGACTACAGGCATGCGCCACTTTTTTATATATATATCAGTTGGCCAATTAATTTCTTTCTATTTATAGTAGAGACGGGGTCTCGCTCTTGCTCAGGTTGGTTTTGAACTCCTGACCTTGAGCAATCCGCCCGCCTTGATTTAAGTTCTTTATAGTTGATAAATAAATTACATTTTAAGCCTATGGAAAGTGTTCCCCTTTCCTCTTTTATGGCTTTTAGCATCTAACCAATAATATCTTTTTTGAGACAGAGTCTCACTTTGTTGCCCAGGCTAGAGTGAGTGCCATGGCATCAGCCTAGCTCACAGTAACCTCAAACTCTGGGCTCAAGCAATCCTACTGCCGCAGCCTCCCGAGTAGCTGGGACTACAGGCATGAGCCACCATGCCCAGCTAATTTTTTCTATATAAGTTGGCCAATTAATTTCTTTCTATTTATAGTAGATGGGGTCTCACTCTTGCTCAGGCTGGTCTCAAACTCCTGACCTCGAGCAATCCGCCCGCCTCGGCCTCCCAGAGTGCTAGGATTACAGGCGTGAGCCACCACGCCCAGCCAATAATATCATTTTAATTAAAGGTAAAAGGCCTTTCTGAATGGTTGCTGTGATTTCTTAATGTGAAGAAGAATGTACTGAGTTATACTCCTTATACTATAAATTATTTATAATACTTCTCACTTTAAAGCACATGTGTAGACCTGTACCTTATTGTTTTATGTCTTCAGAGTTTAGAAGGGGAGACTCTATATTGGCTCACTTTTAGTTCACATTTTTACATTTATAGTTCCCATTTCCATAAGTCATGGATGTTATATTTGTAGTCATGTTTTTATTAATGGAATAGACTGTTTAAGGGTTAAAAACATATTTTTTTTCCTCATCTCTTTGTGGCCTCTACTAGGCTGGGTCACTGGGAAGATTTAGAAGTCATTTGTAGAGAATGATAAAGAATCTGTCCTATGGTGATAGCTCTTTCTTAGAGGTTAAAAGATTCACCCGATATGGCTCATAAGAAATGACTTATTTCTTCAGCAAACACCGAGTGTGTCCTCCCTACTGGCCATGTGCTAGGTACTGCTTATATGGGGAACACAATCCAATTCTAGCATTCATGGGGCTTTTAGTCTAGAAGGAAAGTCGCTGTGATTGTGCTGCAGTTGGACACCGTACAGGTGTTGTGGGAACAGAGAGAAGGAGCGTGAGATGTGCCTGGCACTAGGAAGAGACTAAAGGGAAAACGTCCACAGAAAGATGTGGAGAGTCCACATAGCCTGGGAAACGAAGATGGAAATTGAATATCCCAGTAATAGAGGGAAAATATGACATGGAAAGGCAGAGGGAATACTAGCAATAATAAAACCTAGTTAATATGCAGTGCTTCCTGTGTGAGGTTTTTTGTGCCTGTTTTATTTTATTCTTGTAACAATCCAGAGGTAAATATTAGTGTTATCTCTAGTATTAGTGTTATCCCTGACTTACAAATGAGAAAATAAAGGCACAGAGACATTAAGTCACTTGCTTGTGGTCACAGCTAATAATTAGCGGATCCATCATCACTGACCTTAGAACCTACACACATTATGCTGTACTCCTATTAAGAAAGACAAATACTTATTCGAGGAACTATAAGTAATATTGACCTGTCAATGAGGTATATGGTGGAAGGACAGGTAGGAGTGGCAGTAAGAGAAAAAGATAGTACAGGAAATAAGATGGGAGACATAGGTGGGGTCTAGGTTATGAAGGGCCATCCTAAGAGGTTTTAATTTCACCTGTAGATAACACTTCTGCACAAAATAGACCAAAGTTGGTTAGAAGGAAGATGTGGAGATCATTTAAGAGGAGTAATTCATGTTAGAAGTGATAAATTTCTAAACCAATTCATGTTAGAAGTGATAAAGATCTAAACTAAATTAGTGGTAAGGAGGATGAAGGGGATGGATTCAAATGATCTTTTGGAGGAGAGTTCTTAGACCTTGGTGATTAATTGTATGTAAGGCTTGAGGGAGAAGGAAGAGTTTAAGATGACTCAGGTTACACGATTGGTTATCATACATCAAGAAAGAGGATAGGAAAGAAAAAGCCAGTTTGAAGGAAATGTGATCATTGACCTGTCTGCCTGCTAGAATTAGAATGGCAAAATGTTGTTTAGAGAAGAAATTATTTCTTCTCTTTGCTTCTCAGTTTATTCATAGTGCTCACAAAAATATTGACTCTCTTAGGAGAACCATGCTTTGGAACCATTAAGTCAGCTGTCCTCTGTAGTTCACCATACGCATTTATTTATAAGATTAAGAATGTTATGTCTCCTGACTTTGATATGAGCTCTTGTAGCTTAAAGAACATATTTTCTGCTTGCTCTATAATTCCCTACAGCCTTGTTCAGTATTAATTCCCCAAACCCTGGCATTCTTTGTTGTTGAAAGTATTCTGTATTCAATATTCTGGTACATCTAATACCCTATGTGATCATAGCAGAGACAGATGGGCAGTCATGTACTGTTGCCAGCAAATAAGACCTACCATCTGTTGGTATAGTCACACACTCAAATTCTTACCTTATCTTACTTGTTATTACATCCAAAAAACAATAAAGAGAAGGAACAAATATCCTCTTGCATCAAGCTTACTGATTTAGTAGGAAAAGGTAATTTGGATATTTTGTCATAAAAATAAAAAGGATAAAAATAAAAGGATATTTTGTCATATAGAGGGGATGTATGGCAATCTTAAACACATAAATTTAGAGAGGGGTCAGATAAAAGAAAACTACTGAACAGATACCCGAGAACCTGGGAATGGAACAGGTATATAGAAAAAGGGACATTGATGCTCTTGAAAAAAGTTGGTCAATAGGGTCTGAATAAAGAGAATTTCAGATAATGAGCATCATAAACATGTCCATACCCTTTTGCCCTTTACTTCCATATTTAAGACTCTTGCTTAAGGAAACACTGCCAAATATTAAAAAGAAAAAGTAGCCATCAAGCTCTTTAGCCTAACATTATTTATTATGGAAGAATTAGAAGCAGCAAAAACATCTAATTGACGAATGGTTAAATTATTGGGTTGTCATTCAATGAGATATTATGCATACCGTACATACATTAAAAATGATGATTATAAAAACTCTTTTCACGGCCGGGCGCAGTGGTTCATGCCTGTAATCCTAGCACTCTAGGAGGCTGAGTCGGGTGGACCGTTTGAGCTCAGGAGTTTGAGACCAGCCTGAGCAAGAGCGAGACCCCATCTCTACTAAAAATAGAAAATAAATTAGCTGGACAACTAAAACTATATATAGAAAAAATTAGCCGGGCATGGTGGCACATGCCTGTAGTCCCAGCTACTCAGGAGGCTGAGACAGGAGGATCATTTGAACGCAGGAGTTTGAGGTTGCTGTGAGCTATGATGATGCCACGGTACTCTACCCTGGGCTAGAGAGTAAGACTCTGTCTCAAAAAAAAAAAAGACCTTGAAAGAAAAAAATTTCAGATTAGTATTTATATGAATATAGAATGAGGATGACATAAACATAAAACTAATGGCAGAAGACATGAATTTTTTTATGTAACAATAGCACCTTTATCTTTTATTTTTTAAAGACTATTTTTTTTAGAGCAGTTTTAAGTTCATAACAAAATTGACAGGTTAGGTACAGAGGTTTCCCATGTACTTCCCACCCCTACACATACATAGCCTCTCTCATTATCAACATCTAATACCAGAGTGGCACTTTTGTTATAATTGACATCATTATCACCCAGAGTCCATAGTTTACATTAGAGTTCACTCTTGGTGTTGTAGGAAACCATGAATATTGGTACATTTGACTACCTAAAATTTTTTATATAGCAAAATAAAATTAAAAGGCAAACATACTTCGTAATACATTTATGTCATGTATTACAGAGGACTAGTACTAGTATTTGAAGTAATCTGACAGATCAGTTTTGGAAAAGATAAACACTTTAGGAGAAAAAAATGTCAAGTCACAAGTAGGCAACTCACAGAATACCAAAAAATAGTCAAAAGTAGGGGGAAAGTTCTGCTTTACTCATGATCAAATAAATGTATATCATATTACAGATTTGTATAGAATGAGCTTGCCCAAGGTTATAAAAGAGTCTGCTTTTGGAGAGCAGTTTGATAATATATATCAAAATCCTTTAAATTTTGTGTAATAATAGCATTTGTTACCCTCTCTGTGAGGCGTAATGTTAAGCATTGGACAAAGATTTGCTCGTTTGATCCTCAAAATTACCCTTTTATCCAAATGTGGGTATTTCCATTTTAATGATGAGGAAATTGAAGTGTTGGGGAAATAATGCCAGCTTCCCAAAGGTCATTTAGCTAGTGATAGAGCCAGGACTTCAAACCCAAGGAAAATGTCTTCCCAGCCTGAGCCCTTAATAACTATGCCCCTCTAAGAATTTTTATCCCCCCAAAATATTTGAGTGTATATGCCCAAATATCTATCGCATTATTTATAAGAGCAGAAATTTTTAAAACAATTAAATGCCCAACAATGTATTCTTTAAAATACAACATAGCTATTAGAAATCATATTGAACCAGAAAATACTCATGTGAAGATGTCTATGACAGTGTTAAGTAGAAGGGCAGGTTTCAAAATCATATTTATAATAAAAGTACAATTTTTAAAAATATATGCACATGGAAAGACTAGAGACATGTCAAAACATTGAGAATGTTTTTTGTGTTTAGGGAGCAGGATTTATAAGCTTCTATTTTCCCTTGGGTTTTCCAATTTTTTTGCTTTCAACATATTTTATAATGAATATAAAATAATAATTAATAAAAGAAAGAAGGAGTTTCCTCCAGAAAGATACCTTTTGGGTCCCAACTCCTGGACTATGAGAATTAGATGTATGTAAGTTATATTCATGAGCCTGGTATGCCCACTCCAGCCTAATTTAAGAATCTCTCTTTACCAGAAGACATAACTTGGGAGTGTTTTTCTTTTTCTTTCTTTCTTTCTTTCTTTCTTTCTTTCTTTCTTTCTTTCTTTCTTTCTTTCTTTCTTTCTTTCTTTCTTTCTTTCTTTCTTTCTTCTTTCTTTCTCTCTCTCTCTCTCTCTCTCTCTCTCTCTCTCTCTCTCTCTCTCTCTCTCTTTCTTTCTTTTTTTTTGCAGCAACTTGCATGGATGAGTGTTTATCTTAAGGGAAGACTCTTGGCTATCTAAAAAAAGTTTACTGTGCAGCTCTTACCATAGCAAACTTCCCTTGTGTATGTAGTGATATATATATATATACATGTACAACATTTGAGGTGCACATAATTACAAGACAGCTGCTTCATATGTTCATAACATGTATGTTCCAAATTTAATCTCTTCATTAAATTTTAATTTTAATATTGTATTTATGTATCTCTTTGATGCTATTTTTCTGACCAATGTAATGGGCAAACTGATGGAATAAGAGGAATGAAGAGCATGATGTTCCCACACTGATCAGGCACTTTATTGCACTAGTTTTCATTACCAACTCTTCTGTAACTTGAGAATATTAAAATGAAACTCACTGATTGGGAAACATGATCCATATTAATCAATATAAGTACTTGGAACCTTGCAATAACAAGACACAGGAATGACTGAGAATTTTAACAAGAATTTCCAAATTGGGAGCTGCTGCCTCCTTCACTGTCACCCTGCATTCCCTGGCACTTTGCTGGGCTCCCTCATTCTTCCTGGGGAGATGACTTCAGGAAATTAAAAATTCAATTTCTTTTTTTTTTTTTTGAGACAGAGTCTCACTTTGTTGCCCTGGGCTAGAGTGCCATGGCATCAGCCTAGCTCACAGCAACCTCAAACTCCTGGGCTCAAGCGATCCTTCTGCCTCAGCCTCCCAAGTAGCTGGGACTACAGGCATGCACCACCATGCCTGGTTAATTTTTATGTATATATATATTTTTTCTGTTGTTGTTGTTAGTTGTCCAGCTAATTTCTTTCTATTTTTTTAGTAGAGACGGGGTCTCGCTCTTGCTCAGGCTGAAAATTCAACTTTTTAACCTGGGATTTCCTATTTTCTTTAGCTTGATCATGTGCTTGTTCCAGAGAAACTGCCTAGTTTAAAAAACTGGTGTTTTTGCTTTTTATTATGATAGAAATGGAGAAGTGAACTGTTGATAGTCATATTACTTTTAATTTATGGAACATTCATTTTGGAGGTTTAAGCTTTAATACAGAGTGAGCATCATGTATCTTGGTGCCCAAGTGGGGCTCCCCTGCACCCCCACTGATAATTACTACCATATTGTGTCTATGAACAGGTTCCTGGTATAAATTTACCCGTCAATCAACTGACCTATTTCTTCGCTGCAGTTCTCATTAGTGGTGTTGTACATGAAATTGGACATGGGATAGCAGCTATTAGGTAACAAGATTTATCTTTTTTTTTTCTACTAAATGCAAAGAAGCTTTTCATTTAGAAGAGTTTACTAAAATCTGTTAACATCTGATACTACATTTGATACTTTCACTGTTTTTCTTTTGGATATTGCCCAGTGCATAGCCATCATTTATTACTTTGAGGTAGCTTCTCTTGTACAGAGAAAATTAATATATTAATGAATATGCTCAATTAACAGTGTGCATATCTGTAATCTAGTGTTTCTATCCTTTGGCTGTATGGTTAGATCCTCATGATGCTTCAAGGTTTTTCATCCAATCCTGAAAGCTAATCTTTCTATTCATCATTGGGTCAGAATGATAACCACTGTACTCAAAACCCACTCACCTTAGTACTTTCTTTAGCTTATCAGCTGAAATAATTTCCTGCTTCTGCTCATGTTCTCTGCTGGATAGAGCACTGAAAGCACTGGGTTTAACAAATATCATGCCTATCTAGAAACCCAAATGGAAAGTAAGAAAAGATGAGACCTGGGACCTGCTTTGAGTATCCTGCCCTCTTCTTGGTCTTGACTACCCAAATGTATCATTGTAATTATACCTGAGCATTTAAAAGCCTACTAAACTTATAAAGTTGTGCTGGGGAGAGGGCGCATTGCAACTCCCCTGCTACCCCAAGTGAATTACTGCCATAATCAGCAAGCATGTTGATTGTATTTTATCCTTTGGGTGTGTGGACCAGAGAAAAGGTTAAGAACCACTGTTTTAGAGGAGAAGATTTAATCACTTCTTATTACTTTCCATTTGCTTATGAACAAGAGTCTATTGACTGGCAATAAACCCTCATCTTGACAGAGCACATATTGTTAAACAAGTGTGCACAGTAGTTGTTTAAAGGGGCAGTTACTTTTTTTAAATCTCTTTCACCCTTACTTCCACGTTTTTAGCTGTGCAGCCTTTAAGTTTTTATATATAGAGGCATCATTATGAACAGCTTAATAATTTACAATATGTTTATAAAATGAGTTAGGTAATTTTTTTAAATCCCAACTGCCAAGAAAAAGTGAATTATATAGTTGTCTTATATATTTAGTATTGAGTGACAGCACAAAATATATTTAGGTAATGCTTTTTTTAGAGTAGCTGTTTGGTATTATGAGATTATTAAATGTAATGTACACTTTTAGAAAATGAAGTGACAAAAAATAGTTCTCTTAAGGACAATTTGAGCATTATTCATTTTAAAATGTACATACTTTAACATTAGCTCAATAGGAATACACTTAAATAAATCTCTATCATTATTGATAATCGCTAAGACAAATGTAAGTATTTAGATAATTTATTTGAATTTTATATTCTCCTGTATCCTCTGAAAATAGTTCAAAATGAACCATAAAAATGTTTTTCATTTAGTTTCTCATAGTATTATTAACTGTCTTTATATCTGTGACTAATTTTAATTATTTGCTCAACATATTGGTTTCTGAAAATTTTGAAGTTATAAGTCTATTTCAGAATGCCCTATTTTACAAAATTTAATCTCATAGATAACCAAATCTGTACACTATTATAAAATTATGATTATATAGTATACATATAATTTTTGGGCTATCTAGAGAGACTTTTTAAGCAAGAATTTGAATTACGGTGAGAAGTTTTAAGATTAGATACATTATTAATTTGACAAATACAATAGTATTAGTAAATTCTGTTTTCTTATGTGATTTCTTAGGGAACAAGTTCGATTTAATGGCTTCGGGATTTTTCTCTTCATTATTTATCCCGGAGCATTTGTTGATCTGTTCACCACTCATTTGCAACTTATATCACCAGTCCAGCAGCTAAGGATATTTTGTGCAGGTAACAGACTTAATTTTTTTTTAATGTTCATCTGTGGTTTTGGTTTTGGTTTTCTATGGTTAGTGGTTTTATGGAAAGTACTCACGTTACAAACAACATCTTATCTTTTGGTTAATAAATTCAGTTTATATAGACTTCCTCAAAAATAGTATAGTAAATTTACATTCCGATTTATTCTTTAAAAACAACTAAAATAAAATAAATTATTAAAAATTTTTTTTAGAAAGGCAGTGAGGGCCAGGCACGGTGGCTCATACTTGTAATCCTAGCACTCTGGGAGGCTGAGGTGGGAGTATTGTTGAAGGTCAGGAGTTCGAAACCAGCCTGAGCAAGAGCAAGACCCCGTCTCTACTAAAAATTGAAAGAAATTAATTAGCTAACTATAAATATATAGAAAAAATAAGCCGGGCATGATGGCACATGCCTGTAGTCCCAGCTACTCGAGAGGCTGAGGCAGTAGCATTGCTGGAGCCCAGGAGTTTGAGGTTGCTGTGAGCTAGGCCGACGCCATGGCACTCAGAGTGAGACTCTGTCTCAAAAAAAATAAAATAAAATAAATAAAAAGACAGTGAGGAAAACTTCATTTTTACTGATGCTAAGAAATGGCCACAACTTGGAACCACAAACTATGAAGAATATCACGTTAGCCGAAATTTGTGTGAAATCAAGGTAGAATACAAAAAATTAGCCAAGAGATAAATAAAAAAAAATTTGGGAATAGATAAGAGATGATATGTGAAAATGGGTGGTGAACTCTAGCTTTGTCAGAGTTCAGTCAGAGAAACAGAATCACTCAGAAATATATGGCTATATAGGGAAGAAATTCTGGGAAACACAGTTCTATCTGAGCTAAATTGACATAAGACAAATTCATCACAACTCTGCATCACTTTAAATAGAATAACTGAGGCTAGGCAAGTATAGAGTTAGAATTCTTGAATAGACTATGAATATAATAGAACAAAAAAATTGAATGTGAGAAAAGTTAAAAACAAAAAGTCTAAATACTAACTTCCTCAACTTCATAGTGGAGAGAAGGAGTCTGCCTAAAGCTGATAAACCAAGAAATAGAGACTTAAGTGTATCACTTAAGATTATAAATGTAAACACTACAAGATCTAAAACTACCCATAAACCTTTCAAGTTATCAGAGTGAAAGCATGAAACACAGACAAAAGAAAACAGACCTTACATCAAAAGGTCAACTAAGGTAACAAACTTAAGACCAAAACACATTTATTTTGCCAATAAATATAAATGAGCTGGGGCCTCATGCCTGTAGTCCCAGCTACTCTGGAGGCTGAGGTGGGAGGAGCAGTTGAGCCCTGGAGTTCTGGACATTGTGTGCTATGGTGATCAGTTATCTGCACTAAGTTTAGCACCAGTATGATGACCCCAAGGGAGTAGAGGACCACCAGCTTGCCTAAGGAGAGGTAAACCAGCCCAGGTCAGAAACCAGAGCAAGTCAAAACTCCCCTGCTGATCAGAAGTGGGATCACACCAGTGAATAACCACTACACTACAGCCTGGACAATACAGTGAGACTCCCTCTCTTATTTAAAATATATATGTGTGTGTGTGTATGTGCATATATATGTATATATGAGATAAGCTCTCCTATTAAAGGACAAGTGCCTTTAGTCTGGATTAAAAACATGCCAAATTTGTGATGTATAAAAGAAATCCATCTAAAAGATTACTCAAAAATATTGAAAATAGGCCGGGCGCAGTGGCTCACGCCTGTAATCCTAGCTCTCTGGGAGGCCGAGGCGGGTGGATTGCTCGAGGTCAGGAGTTCGAAACCAGCCTGAGCAAGAGCGAGACCCCCGTCTCTACTATAAATAGAAAGAAATTAATTGGCCAAATAATATATATAGAAAAAATTAGCCGGGCATGGTGGCACATGCCTGTAGTCCCAGCCACCGGGAGGCTGAGGCAGGAGGATTGCTTGAGCCCAGGAGTTTGAGGTTGCTGTGAGCTAGGCTGATGCCACGGCACTCACTCTAGCCTGGGCAACAAAGCAAGACTCTGTCTCAAAAAAAAAAGAAATGAGAAAAGAACTATAAAATAGTTAAGAAATGAATTAATTAGTTTAGATATAGGCAGAAAATAGTAAGTTAAAAAAAAGAAAAATAGAACTGTTAAATCCAAGAGTTCCTTGAAGGAAAAAAAAAGATTAAACAATAGAAGAAAGCATCTATAGACAGAATTAGCAGTCAGATTGGGAAATAACAACTAATACAGAGAAAATTAAAACAATTTTAAGTGTTCTTTGTTCATCTCTGCAAAAATATTTCAGAAACCTGGATATATACAAGAAAATAAAACTGAAATTAATCCCAGAGGAGATAGAAAAAAAATCAAAATAGGCCAATAATTACAATGGGAGAAATTAAGAGAGTTGATGAAGAATGCCCCTGTAAGTTTCATAGGTGGAATGCCTTCAGATCTTGAACTTAAAGACTTTTTTTTTTAATTCCAATTAGTATAAACTTTCCAGATCACATAGAGAAGGAAACTAAGATTTTTCTTTTTTAAAGCCAATAGAACATTGGTACATCATCTGGTAAAGCACAAAAACAACCTACAAACACATGGCCTATCTCAAGAATGCAAAGATGGTTCAACATTAGGAAATCTATTTGAATGTTGTCAATATTTGCCATTAGGACAAAGAGTCCTCATGTTGAGGCCAGACACAGTGGCTCACAATCCTAGCACTCTGGAAGGACAAGGCTGGAGGATCGCTCAAGGTCAGGAGTTCGAAACCAGCCTGAGCAAGAGTGAGACCCTGTCTCTACTAAAAATAGAAAGAAATCAATTGGCCAACTAAAAATATATAGAAAAAAATAGCTGGGCATGGTGGCGCAAACCTGTAGTCCCAGCTACTTGAGAGGCTGAGGCAGCAGGATTGCTTGAGCTCAGGAGTTTGAGGTTGCTGTGAGCTAGGCTGATGCCACAGCACTCAAGCCCAGGGCAACAGAGTGAGACTCTGTCTCAAAAAAAAAAAAAATATATATATATATATATATAAAAGAACTTTTTAAAAAAATTCCAATTAGTATAAACTTTCCAGATCACATAGAGAAGGAACTGAGATTTTTCTTTTTTAAAGCCAATATAACATTGGCACATCATCTGGTAAAGCACAAAAACAAACTAGAGACACATGGCTTATCTCAAGAATGCAAAGATGGTTCAACATTAGGAAATCTATTTGGAAATATTTGCCATTCGGAGAAAGAGTCCACATCTCAGAAGATATTGAGGCCGGGCACAGTGGCTCACGTCTATAATCCTAGCACTCTGGGAGGCCAAGGCTGGCAGATCACTCAAGGTCAGGAGTTCGAAACCAGCCTGAGCAAGAGTGAGACTCCATCTCTACTAAAAAACTACAAAGAAATTAATTGGCCAACTAAAAATATATAGAAAAAATTAGCTGGGCATGGTGGTGCATGCCTGTAGTCCCAGCTATTCAGGAGGCTGAGGCAGGAGGATCACTTGAGCCCAGGAGTGTGAGGTTGCTGTGAGCTATGATGACGCCAGGGCACTCTAGCCCCAGCAACAGAGTGAGACTTTGTCTCAAAAGAAAAAGAAGATATTGAGACTATGTTTAACAAAATTCAACATCCATTAGTTTTTTTAAAATCCTTTGTAGAAGTAGGAATAGCTGGATACTGCACAATGGTATGGCAGTTATAAGTATTCCTATTAAAGGACAAGAGAAGCAATCCCACTATCAACTATTACTGATGTTAAATGTTGGTCTTAGTGCAATTAAATAAAAAGAAAAAAGTATAAATATTAGAAGCATGCTTTTCTTTGCATACTGTCATATGGGAGGAGGGCAGAAGACAAGAAAAATCAACTGAAATGAAATACAGAAAAAAATCAGTAAAGATCCTGGTTACTAAATTAATATTCAATAAACGATAGCTGGACAGGCGGCAGGAGCACTAAGGCGAGCGCGAGCACGTGCACGTTTACGTGGGCCTGAGCGTGTGCGCGTGTGCGCTTTCTGGGCGGCAAGAAGCATCAGGTGCTCAGGCGCATGCGCCTGGTGCTCCCAGAAGCACTTGCGTCAGAGGCACCGGCTTCTTCCGCTTCAACCGTCCAAGTCCTCTGTGGTGCTCGCTTCTTCCTCAGGCGGGCGCCTCTCTCTGGAGCTCCCGCCTTTCTCTCGAGCTCGCGCCTTCCTGTCCTCAGCCTTCTTTTTCCCACGGCCTTCCAGTCGCCTACCAGCAGCCGAGTAGCCAAGACTACCACTGAGCTCTCAGCCATGTCCTCAAACGAAGCTCTCTACATCACCACAGAAAACGCGCCGATGCCTGCGGAGATCGTGGAACTGCACCAGATCCATGTGGAAACCGTTCCTGTAGAGACGATGTCAATGGAAACCATTGAGGAATACGGAGATTTAACCGGCAGTTGGGTTCACGGTGGCCACCACCACTCGCCTCTGATCGCGCTGCAGCCGCTCGTCATTAACAACGCGGGCCACGGCGACCAAGACCAGGAAGTGATAATGGTGCAGACACGCGAGGAGGTGGTGGGCTACTATGACTCCGACAACCTGCAGGCCAACGATTTCGAAGACCAAATAGTCATCCCGCTCGGCGATGAAAACCACTGCTTCCAGCAGACCCTGGCCTCTCTGTCAGCCTCAGCATCGACATCAGCATCTGCCTCAACTTCGGCATCGGCATCGGCCTCAACCTCGACCTCCGGCCACAGCAAGAAGTTCAGCGGCCACAACAAGAAGGCCAGTGGCAAGAGTCACACCAGCAGTGAGGCCAGGGCGGGAGGCAGCAGCTCTGACCAGGGCAGCAAGAAGTGGGAGCAGAAGCAGGTGCAGATCAAAACCCTAGAGGGTGAGTTCTCCGTTACCATGTGGTCCTCTACCGATAAAAAAGACCAGGAGACGGTTGAAGGACAGGCTGAAAACTCTTCTCCTGATTATTCCGAGTACATGACCGGGAAGAAACTTCCTCCTGAAGGAATACCTGGCATCGACCTCTCCGATCCCAAGCAGCTGGCAGAATTTACTAGAATGAAGCCAAAAAGACCCAAAGAAGGTCCCAGAACAATAGCTTGCGCTCATAAAGGCTGTGTCAAGATGTTCCGGGATAACTCTGCGATGAGAAAGCATCTGCACACCCACGGTCCCAGAGTCCATGTATGTGCGGAATGCGGCAAAGCTTTTGTGGAGAGCTCAAAATTAAAGCGACATCAGCTGGTTCATACTGGAGAGAAGCCCTTTCAGTGCACATTTGAAGGCTGTGGAAAACGCTTTTCCCTCGATTTCAATTTGCGCACACATGTGCGAATCCATACCGGAGATAGGCCCTACGTGTGCCCCTTCGATGCTTGTAATAAGAAGTTCGCTCAGTCAACTAACCTGAAATCGCATATCTTAACGCATGTCAAGAACAAAAACAACCAGTGAAGAGAGAAGACCCTTCCCAAACTCGGGAAGTATCTGCCCAGGAGTGTGGTTGGGAATAAATATATATGCATCTCATTTGTGTGTTGTTTCTAGGAAAGAGTTTTTAAAAAACCTACATCTTAAGGTTCATGTTTTGATAGAATAGTAAAAGTAAAATTTAAAAGTTTTTAAAAAAAGTAAACCTTAATATAAGATAATATTGCTAAGTTGCCTTGTCTTGTTCTATAATGGTGTTTTTGTCAAGTTTGGTCCCAACAGGAGAATAATTCATGAACCTCACAACAAGAGACAATTCTTTATACAACTGTGTTAAAAATGGGACTTTTGGGACTTTTGGCCTCTCTCCCTCTGTAAAAAAAAAAAAAAAAAAAAAAAAATACTTTTCATGTTCTTAGAAATACAAAGTTCAATTATTGCTTATAATTTTTTAAAAATTATTTTCTAAATGTTAATGTTTATACTTTTAGGAATATGCTTGATAATTCTACATACGGTTTTTCTGGAGGGTGATAACTTCGCAAAACATTTACTTTAAAAGAATGAAGTTACATGCATACATGAAGTACTTTTCTGCTAAAAAACTTATACAGGTTTTGTTTGCTGTCTTAATTTTGATTGTATTCTGGGATGTTAACACATTTTGCATAACTATCTTTTAGCTATATTCAATTATGTGGTATTGAATATTAGATGATTTAAGAGTATTAGTTTTAACATATGTTAGTCATTTTATTGTCCCAAAAATATGACCAGGTCCTGTTTTTTAGTGTAATTTCTTTGCCTGTTTGGTTAGAAAGAGTACTGCTCAGTTTTAGGCTACAGTGTGTATCTATTGACTTTAACACTTGCTATGTACTATGTAATAGAAAAAGCAAAAATAAAATCCATGTTCTGAAGAAAGGAAAAAAAGTAGTTTGCCTATATAAATAAAGTAGCTAGAAAATAAATAAAAGGGGGAGGGTGCTTCTGGCATCTTGTGGGTAGAGGCCAGGAATGCTGCTGAACATCTTACAATGCACAAGACAGTCTCCCAAAACAGAGTTAGCTGACCAAAATGCCAATAGTGCCCTGCTCTGTAAATGTACAGTACTTATAAACAAATCATTAATGGACAAGAAGTTGTTTTGATGAAGGAAATAAATGTGTGTGCCCCACCACCCTCATTGCCACTTAGCCATCATAGGCAGATCCAGAATCTAGAGGGGTGGTCTGGTACCAGCTGCATGCCTGACAAAGAGGACACTACCCAGGAAGTCAAGGATTCAGTGTTGCTGTGTGTCCCCACCTCTATTCATGCCTTTTGTTTCTGTGACTAGCAACAGGTGGGGTGGGGAGGGATTTATAGCAATACTATAAATTATTTTCCCCAGAGCAAATTTTAGTGCATCAAAGAATTAGGGGTTTTTTGTGTTTTTTTGGTTTTAATTTAATTAAGGAAATTATGAAAGCAGAATCAGAAAACACAGGTATCTTTTATAAAATCTTCAAGTGGGAAAGGCTTAATACAAAGGAGCCATTTAACCACACCAAAATTTAAAATATCTGTTTTGACAAAACTACAAACCATGCCAAACAACAGAGGAGAGGAGAGAGTTATAAAACTTTTTACAAAGGACCACATTCATCAATGTATATATTATAAATAATATAAAAAATTAGTAAGGAGAAAAACCCAGTCAAAACATGAGCAAAGATATAAACAGGCAATGGATAGAAATAGGCAGCTCTCAAGACAATGGGATTTTACTTCTTAAAGACTACAGACTAAAATGATAGCAACGAGTTTAGTTCAGAGGGTAGGAAAACGTTAATTATAAGAACATAAACTCATTAGAGGTCAATTTTAATGCACATATTTTTGACTGAACAATTCCATTTCTAGGTAATTTTCCATACATCTTTCGGATGCATAAATAGATGCATAACAATATAAGCAAAACTGTTTATTGCAGCATTGTATGAAAAGATTAAAACAGCCCAAGTGATCATTGAAACCTTATAAATAAATTGATGTGTTAATAAAAATAGATTACTTTGTAGCAGATATAAGATATGGGATAGATACAAATGTGCAGATTTGGAAAAATGTACGATACATATATAAGCAAAATATAGTATAAGTAATTTGATACCATTGGTGTTTTCAAATGATTTATCTGTGTATAATAGAAATGATCATTTACCCAATAAGTCTAAGACCAGAACTTGCTCTGGATATTTCTGGAATTTAACAACTTACGACATTTAAAAAAAAAAAGGAACATTTTACAATCTGAATATGGTACATGGAACATGTGTTAGCTAAATATCTGGCTGCTCTAATAGCTGAAAATGACAGTGGCCTAAACTCTCATAAAAGATTCCAAATGTAAATAGTTCAGCATTGATATAATTCTGTGGTTTGGGAGACTCAGGCTCTTTCTGTCTTGTTAGCTCTGCCATTCCCAACCTGCAGCTTCTATGGTATGGACTCAAAGTCCAGCTCCACCATAGCTACATTCCACCTTGTAGGACAAGGTTGTCCCTAACACTTCATTCACAACCTAGTGCTAGTAGTGGCCATCACCCCATGAGAAAAGCTGCAATAGAAAAGGGAAGATTAGGTATGAAGGAGGGGTTATCCAGTGGTATGAATAACACCTGGCTCTGGAGGGTATGGGTGGGGAGCTTTAAGAGTAGCATTTGCTGGTTTCTGTAGCCAATTTCAAACTGCCAACCTACAGTTTCTAAAAGAGGAATTGGGAAGAGATACAAACAATTGGCTATGGCAAGCTGGTGGGAGCAGGTTCCAGCACACCACTGATTTCATATAGCCATCTCTACAGTAGGATGGGATATAAGATGTTAGGGGGAAAAAAGTTTTAAAAGGCCAGGTGTGGGGCTCACACCTGTAATCATAGCACTCTGGGAGGCTGAGGCAAGTGGATTGCTTGAGGTCAGGAGTTCGAAACCAGCCTGAGTGCGACCCCCCCCCCGCCCCCCTGTCTCTACTAAAAATAGAAAGAAATTAATTGACCAACTAAAATATACATATAGAAAAAATTAGCCGGGCATGGTGGCGCATGCCTGCAGTCCCAGCTACTCAGGAGGCTGAGGCAGTAGGATTGCTTGAGCCCAGGGAGCTAGGCTGACGCCACGGCACTCATTCTAGCCTAGGCAACAAAGCGAGACTCTGTCTCAAAAAAAAAAAAAAAAAAATATTGAAAATAAAATGATAAGCAGAATATACCATACAAATGTGAACTTTTGAAAATAAGACCAAAAGCATTAAGTTAGACATAAGGGGAACTAAATAATAATAAGAAATATAAGCCATAGTGAAAGTACAACAGTTGTGAATCTTACTGTATCAAATAACAAACTATCAAAACACAAAACAAAAATGGAAAAACTACAAAGAGAAACAGAAATGTAATAAAAAGACTCATCTCTTAACACATGGCAGATAAAAAAGTCAGGCTATGGAAGCTCTAATTAGTAAGGTAAAAATGATTATGTCCAACTCTATACCATGAACATAGAAGATAATTTCAACTGCCCCAGGAATGTATAAAATTTGACTATATATTAGTCTACAAAGAAAGCCTCCATAAATTCCCAAGGTAAGAGTAGGAACCTAACTAAATTTAGAAATTTATCTTAATCACATCTTGGATCAATTTAAGTCAAAACCATAATTTCAGTATATCTAAAAATGATGATAATGAAGTCAGTTCACTGACATAATGTACAAAGTTTTGCCAAAAGGAAAATTCACTGCCTAAGACAATTATTATGCAATTAGAAATGGAAATAAATCAGTTAAGCATTCAACTTAAGAAATGAGAAGGCCTGGTGCGGTGACTCACGCCTGTAATCCTAGCACTCTGGGAGGCCAAGGCAGGTGGATTGCTCGAGGTCAGGAGTTCGAAACCAGCCTGAGCAAGAGCGAGACCCCCGTCTCTACTATAAATAGAAAGAAAGTAATTGGCTAACTGATTTATATAGAAAAAATTAGCCGGGCATGGTGGCACATGCCTGTAGTCCCAGCCACTCGGGAGGCTGAGGCAGGAGGATTGCTTGAGCCCAGGAGTTTGAGGTTGCTGTGAGCTAGGCAAGAGATTCCGGGATAACTCTGCGATGAGAAAGCATCTGCACACCCAACGTCCAGAGTCATGTATGTGCGGAATGCGGCAAAGCTTTTTGTGGAGAGCTCAAAATTAAAGCGACATCAGCGTTCATACTGGAGAGAAGCCTTTCAGTGCACATTTGAAGGCTGTGGAAAACGCTTTTCCCCTCGATTTCAATTTGCGCACACATGTGCGAATCCATACCGAGATAGGCCCTACGGTGCCCCTTCGATGCTTGTAATAAGAAGTTCGCTCAGTCAACTAACCTGAAATCGCATATCTTAACGCATGTCAAGAACAAAAACAACCAGTGAAGAGAGAAACCTTCCCAAACTCGGGAAGTATCTGCCCAGGAGTGTGGTTGGAATAATATATATTGCATCTCATTTGTGTGTTGTTTCTAGGAAGAGTTTTTAAAAAACCTACATCTTAAGGTTCAATGTTTTATAGAATAGTAAAGTAATTTAAAGTTTACAAAAAGTACCTTATATAGATAATATTGCTAATGCCTTGTCTTGTTTATAATGGTGTTTTGTCAAGTTGGTCCCAACAGGAGAATAATTCATGAACCTCACAACAAGAGACAATTCCTTTTACCAACTGTGTTAAAAATGGGACTTTGGGACTTTTGGCCTCTTTCCCTCTGTAGAAAAAAAAAAAAAAAAAATTTTTCATGTTCTTAGAAATACAAAGTTAATTATTGCTTATAATTTTTTAAAAATTATTTTCTAATGTTAATGTTATACTTTTAGGAATATGCTTGATAATTCTACATACGGTTTTTCTGGAGGGTGATAACTTCGCAAAAACATTTACTTTAAAAGAATGAAGTTACATGCATACATGAAGTACTTTTCTGCTAAAAAACTTATACAGGTTTGTTTGCTGTCTTAATTTTTGATTGTATTCTGGGATGTTAACACATTTGCATAACTATCTTTTAGCTATATTCAATTATGTGGTATTGAATATTAGATGATTTAGAGAGTATTAGTTTTAACATATGTTAGTATTTATTGTCCCAAAAATATGACAGGTCTGTTTTTAGTGTAATTTCTTTGCCTGTTTGGTTAGAAAGAGTACTGCTCAGTTTAGGCTTACAGTGTGTATCTATTGACTTTAACACTTGCTATGTATATGTAATAGAAAAAGCAAAAATAAATCCATGTTCTGAAGAAAGGAAAAAAAGTAGTTTGCCTATATAATAAAGTTAGCTAGAAAAAAATAAAGGGGAGGGTGCTCTGGCATCTTGTGGGTAGAGGCCAGGAATGCTGCTGAACATCTTACAATGCACAAGACAGTCTCCCAAAACAGAGTTAGCTGACCAAAATGCCAATAGTGCCCTGCTCTGTAAATGTACAGTACTTATAAACAAATCATTAAATGGACAAGAGTTGTTTTGATGAAGGAAATAAATGTGTGTGCCCACCACCCTCATCTGCCACTTAGCCATCATAGGCAGATCCAGAATCTAGAGGTGGTCTGGTACCGAGCTGCATGCCTGAAAGAGACACTACCCAGGAAGTCAAGGATTCAGTGTTGCTGTGTGTCCCACCTCTATCATGCCTTTTGTTTCTGTGACTAGCAAGGTGGGGTGGAGGGATTTAATAGCATACTATAAATTATTTCCCCCCAGAGCAAATTTTAGTGCATCAAAGAATTAGGGTTTTTGTGTTTTTTTGGTTTTAATTTAATAAGGAAATTATGAAGCAGAATCAGAAAACACAGGTATCTTTTTAAAATCTTCAAGTGGAAAGGCTTAATACAAGAGCCATTTAACACACCAAATTTAAAATATCTGTTTGACAAAACTACAACCATGCCAAACAACAGAGGAGAGGAGAGAGTTATAAAACTTTTACAAAGGACCACATTCATCAATGTATATATATAAATAATATAAAAATTATAAGAGAAAAACCCAGTCAAAACATGAGCAAAGATATAAACAGGCAATGGATAGAATAGGCAGCTTCTCAAGACAATGGGATTACTTCTTAAAGACTACAGACAAAAATGATAGCAACGAGTTTAGTTCAGAGGGTAGGAAAACGTTATATAAGAACATAAACTCCATTAGAGGTCAATTTAATGCACATATTTTTGACTGAACAATTCCATTTCTAGGTAATTTTCATACATCTTTCGGATGCATAAATAGATGCATAACAATATAAGCAAAACTGTTTATTGCAGCATTGTATGAAAAGATTAAAACAGCCCAAGTGATCATTGAAACTTATAAATAAATTGATGTGTTAATAAAAATAGATTACTTTGTAGCAGATATAAGATATGGATAGATACAAATTGTCGTTGGAAAAATGTACGATACATATATAAGCAAAATATAGTATAAGTATTTGATACCATTGGTGTTTTCAAATGATTTATCTGTGTATAATAGAAATGATCATTTACCCAATAAGTCTAAGACCAGAACTTGCTCTGGATATTTCTGGAATTTAACAACTTACGACATTTAAAAAAAAAAGAACATTTTACAATCTGAATATGGTACATGGAACATGTGTTAGCTAAATATCTGGCTGCTCTAATAGCTGAAAATGACAGTGCCTAAACTCTCATAAAAGATTCCAAATGTAAATAGTTCAGCATTGATATAATTCTGTGGTTGGGAGACTCAGGCTCTTCTGCTTGTTAGCTCTGCCATTCCCAACCTGCAGCTTCTATGTATGGACTCAAAGTCCAGCTCCACCATAGCTACATTCCCCTTGTAGGACAAGGTTGTCCCTAACACTTCATTCACACCTAGTGCTAGTAGTGGCCATCACCCCATGAGAAAAGCTGCAATAGAAAAGGGAAATTAGGTATGAAGGAGGGTTATCCAGTGTATGAATAACACCTGGCTCTGGAGGGTATGGGTGGGGAGCTTTAAGAGTAGCATTTGCTGGTTTCTGTAGCCAATTTCAAACTGCCAACCTACAGTTTCTAAAGAGGAATTGGAAGAGATACAAACAATTGGCTATGGCAAGCTGGTGGGAGCAGGTTCCAGCACACCACTGATTTCATATAGCCATCTCACAGTAGGATGGGATATAAGATGTTAGGGGAAAAAAGTTTAAAAGGCAGGTGTGGGCTCCACCTGTATCATAGCACTCTGGGAGGCTGAGGCAAGTGGATTGCTTGAGGTCAGAGTTCGAAACAGCCTGAGTGCGACCCCCCCCCCGCCCTGTCTCTACTAAAAATAGAAGAAATTATGACCAACTAAATATACATACATAGAAAAATTAGCCGGGCATGGTGGCGCATGCCTGCAGTCCAGCTACTCAGGAGCTGAGGCAGTAGGATTGCTTGAGCCAGGAGTTTGAGGTTGCTGACTAGGCTGATGCCACGGCATAACTCTAGGCTGGGCAACAAAGTGAGACTCTGTCTC